TAAATCACGGCATAAATTACACACAAATCCAAAGCTGTTCGTCAAGTCTTGAGGGGAAGAGATTGCACATCAAGAACGGCGAGAAAACTCAACGTCTTTCACCAAAGCTCACTTTTGTGCCCTGGGTGCTCATCAACGGGGTGAGTTTACTAATATTTCCTATTTACTAATTGACAACAATTATTAAAACTTTGAATTTATTAAAAATTTTAAACAGAACTTCACAGAAACCGATCAGAATATAGCACTTTATGGAGACTTGAAAACTTTGATTTGTGATAAATTTCAGGTGAGATTTAATTGAATTGTTTATTAACTGAATGTATAGTAAACTAAATTGTATTTGATTTGCATATCTAGGGAACGACTCCACCGACTGCTTGTAATTCTGCTAATAGAGTCGAACCAATAGTGAAAACGACCTGATTTTTTGGCTGTCAATCGACTCCTTTTACTCATTCATTGCATAATAGTTTGTTTTTATCGAAATTTTTATTATAAATTGAGGTCTGATTTTGCTTTTGGACCACTTTTTCGCAAAGAATGTCGACTCTGAATGCCGGCAGTGTTTCCTATGTTTCGCCCAAATTATTTGAAACACATTTTTAAAATATACTTTTTAGTGAAGTTTATATTCAAACACAAGTTATCTTAAATTTTTTTTTATAAAAATTGATTAATTTTAGTTTCTCGAAAAATTCTAAATATATTTATTTATGTAATTTTTAATTAATTTTTTATAAATAAATGTTTTGAAATGTTTTTAAAAATATTGCAATCTTAATTTATTTAATACAACTTTATTAACCAGAATAACATACAAACATATGTAAATTCAACTTTTATTTTACCGAGTATAGTGTTCTTGCATTAACAAACAATGAGCCCACCCGTAGACCCCAACCCTCCCATTCATATCCGTGTATTTAAAGGACTGTCGTTTTATTGAATAGAATTCATGTTTTATTTCCCATTAATCTCATATAATGCACAAAACCTTAACAGATATATTAATACACGGTATTAACATTAATACAGTTATCAAAACATTAATACTTTTAAAGTATTTGTCTTTGAAATGAGTTTGATATTAAAGTTTGAGATGATCTTCAAGTTTCACCAAATCTGAGCTCAATTTCCATAGCATTTGGGCACTCAAGTCATCCCTTGCATTAAAAACCATGTCTTTCTCATCGACTCGAAGGCAATCACTAAATGTATAATAAAATGATTAAAACACAGAAATTGTTTGATTTACGGCTCAAATGCTAACTCATAATAAAATCCGGTTTCGGTGTCCAGACGTTCATCAAGAGTGCAGTAAAGAGTGGTCTGAGCGCCGAGTTGTTCGTCGATAAGCAATAACTGATGAAGAAATTTCTGAAGGAGACCGCCGGCAGAGCGGTGTCGCCATAAGTCAGTCCTAATGATTCCCGGATGAAGACAATAGCAATTGATATTACTTTGAGACGACAGTCGCCGAGAGAGTTGTCTCGTGAAGAGTACATTCGCTAATTTGCTTTGTCTGTAGGCTGTCATCGGGTCGTAGGCCTGGTTTCGCAGATTGATATTCTCAAAGTTAATGGTTCCCATCATGTGGGCCACCGATGACACTGTTATTATCCTCGCTTTCGACGACTTCTTGATTAATGGCATCAATGATAGCGTCAGCAAAAAGTGACCTAAAAATTATGGGCTATTTATTACAATTCGGGTGACATTTGGTTTGACACGAGTTATACCCAAATGATTGGTCCCGAACTGCATCTCAAAGCCGTCTTCGGTGGTCCACTCCGGACAGTTCATAACTCCGGCGTTGTTTATAAGGATATCAACTTTGGTCT